CCGCAGTGGGCAGCCCGCGTCCACCTCTGCTGTGAATACAAACCGGCAGGGCATGTGCCCCCCGTGCCTTCCCAGGAGTGCATGCAGCAGCAGAGATTCAACCCCCAGACAAGCCATCCGCAGCTCTGTCCTGTTCCCCACTCAGGGTGTTGGTGCTCCTCGCTCCAGGCCAGAGCCCGCTGGGCCCTGCCAGTGCTCTTCTCCCCACCCACAGCCCCGTGGCCTTGCCAGTGCCCATTACTCCCCACCCAACCTCCTGGCCCTGCCAGTGTTCCTCACTCCCCAACCCCCCAGCCCTGCTGGTGCCCTTCACTCGCAACCCACAGCCCCCTGATCCCCTCCCCGGTCCTGCCAGATGGGCCCCCCAGCCAGCAGGACTGAGAGACCTGGGCCAGGGCTGGCAGCCCCCTTCCCACTGCCCTCTACCCCAGCAGCACCCAAGTCCTGACTGCCAAGAGCAGAGCCCACTGTGGGCTCGGGGTTCCACACCCTGCTGCTTGCCTCCTGGGGCCTCTGCAACCCAGCAGGCAGGACCCAGTGCAGGAGGGCAGAGCAGGGTGGGCAGGCTTGGTGCTGCTGGGAGCTGCGCCACCATGGCAAGGTGCCCCCTTCCCACCCAGCAGCAGTGGGGCAGTGGCGCAGAGTTGTGAACATGTGGCCAGCATGGGGCTCTCGGTGGTGCCACAAAGCCTGCCTGCCCTGCTCTCCCCTCCTGCACTGGGTCCTGCCTCCTGGGCCGCAGAGGCCTTGGAGGGAGGGCAGCAGGGTGGGGAGCCCTGAGCCCACAGTGGGCAGCCTGTATACTCCCCTGCCCCATGCATAGATCTGGGGGGGCATATTCCCCCCTTTCCTAGGAGTGTGTGTGCAGCAGCAGGGAACCCCACCCCCCTCCCCAAACAAGCCACCCATGCCCTCATCCCACTCCCTAGCCAGGCCCTGCGGTTATGTATTTATGCCTTGGCAATCACAGAGCTGTCTAGGGCAATCCGCCCACCTGCCTTGTCTCTGTTGTGATATAATACGAACTTGTTTCTAGGCGGGGGGCTGCCCATTCTGTGCCCTGATGCCAAGGCTGTACTACACAACTCCAACCTCCCCTTTACCATGTCTCTCTAGGCTCTGGCCCCACCTCCAGGCAAGTCTGGGTGCCAGATAGCTCTCTGCAGCCCTGGCCTGCCCCTCACTGTAGGCATGCTTGCCCTTCAGCCACTCAGGCCCTGGTCCCAGCCTGAACCAGTCATGATTCCCTGGCCTCAGTGCCACAACAGCTGACCCTCGTATTCCACAAGGGTCCCTCTCTGGGGACCGCCATAAACCTGTCCCTCACAGGGCTTGTCCAGAGCCCCAGAGGTCCTACATGAGGCAGCCCTTCACTCAGCTGGGCTTACGTGAGCCCCTGGCCTCACCCATGCCAGTTCTAATCAGGGGCTTGCCTAGCCCCTGTGTAGGCCCATGAGCTATAAGACCCTTCCTAGGCTCTCCTTAGGCCCAAAGCCTTCTCTCTGGGGCTTGGGACCCCACAGAGACCCTAGGTACCTCCTCCTTCCCTGTAGTCCCAACCCTGAATCTCCAGAGGTACCTGGGAGCAGAGGAGCTCTGGCTGGGCCCTGTTAACTCGGCAGCATCCTTGCAGCAGCTGCCAGTTGTGCCTCTCAGGGCCTGCTCTTATGCTGAGGCTCCGCAGCCCAGCTCCAATCAGGCGGCTTACTGGCTTTCATGTGACTACCTGATTGGCTCTGCAGTCACCTGCAGGCTGCCTTACAGCCTGCTCAGGCCCTTAAAGTGTCAGGCACCAAGGTGCCCTGCCACACACAGCAAACGGAAAACCCAGGTCCCTGGATATCACAGTGCTTGTGGTAAAGGGCATAATCTTCACTGCAGTTTGCTCTCTCTCAGACTGAAAGAGACTGGAAGAACTGCTTCAGCCTTCCTTTGTTGGACTTGATTTTCAGTTTTCTTTCTAAGCAGCCAGTGCTGAGGATCTGGAAAAGTTGATGTAGAAATTCTCTAAGGCATTGCTCATCCAGCTAAGTCTGACGTTGAGTTGGTAGGGCCAGAATTGACTGAAGCCTAAAGCATGATGGCAAAAACCTCTCTAGCGTTATCTTCCTTGACACTAAGGCTTGCTGAAGTTTAGAGCTCTTACATCTAGTAAGCCTCTCAGTGAAGAGGTTCTTCCAGAGAGAAGAAGCTCCCAGAGATTCTTAAGAGTGGAGATTTTTGAAGAAGAAATAATTACCAGTAACCCTAGTCCTTTCGTTGTCAAGCAGTTATCTACTAGGTATCCACCACTCCTGTGCGAAGCAGCAAGTATTCTATTCGGATTTGGAGGGACAGTAAGTCGATACGGCTCATTTGGATTCGGAGATTTGGCTACCAAATCAGGCCGAATCTCCTCTAAATCGAACAGGTGGCGGCAGCGGCGAGGGCATGCTGGCGGTGAGCAGGGCCCCTCTCCCAACCGACTCTCCAGCCTTCCCCCATGACTCCCTGCCTGGCCCCAGCACCTTTTTTTTTTTTAAGTCCTGCAGTCACCAGCTGCAGCAACAGCAATCGGGGCCTCTGAGGGCTTGTGGCAGAGCCCCTCCACAAAGTGCAGGGCAATGGGAGGCAGCAGGGATCGGCCTCCCCTGCCTGGCTCTCACACAGCAGCTGTCGCATCACGTGGGTACAGTGCAGCTTGGCAGGGCGCCACAGGGCTCCCTGCACTGTCCAGGAGCTGGGGTCATTTGGGCTGAGCACTGCCGGGCTCCAGGAGGTGACTGCTGGAGCTGCCGCAGCTCTGGGACAGCACATGACACCCTGATGAGCCACGCTGCTCACCCTGCCAAGCTACACGGGTGCCAGGAAGGTGGGGGGGCAATCACTGCTGCCTCCCACTACCCCGCACTGTGCAGGGCTCCCTGCACTGTCCAGGAGCTGGGGTCATTTGGGCTGAGCACTGCCGGGCTCCAGGAGGTGACTGCTGGAGCTGCCGCAGCTCTGGGACAGCACATGACACCCTGATGAGCCACGCTGCTCACCCTGCCAAGCTACACGGGTGCCAGGAAGGTGGGGGGGCAATCACTGCTGCCTCCCACTACCCCGCACTGTGCGGGGGGGGCTCTGCCACAAGCCCTCAGAGGCCCCAATCACCACTGCTGCAGCCGGCTTTTTTATTTTTTAAAGTGCCGGGGCCGGGTGCGGCAACGGGGCCTGGTGGGGGTCCCCCCATGGTCCCCTTCCCCCTCCTTGAGCCCCCCTGCCCCTACTTACCGGCATGGAGCCCGGGTCCAGCTCCCTGCAGTGGCGAGCGAGGACTGCCCGAATCTCCAAATTGATTCAGAGGCTTCTGATTCAATTCGGACCTTTTCATGGGTCTCCTGATTCAATTCGGATTTGGCCCCCAAATCAAGCCGAGTCTCCTCCAACTCAATGTGCTGTCGAAACTTCTCACAGCCCTAATATTCACCTGTCCATAACCTCTGAAGACAAATTTAAAGCATAGCTGAACTGAGGCTAAGAACCAGTCCCTTGGAGAATTAACCAGAGCTGTCTGACCTCAGCGGATAAAACAGTTTTGACCAACCTTTCCCCTGGTTCTTTTCTTACCCCTAAACTTTCAGTTTGCAACTTCTGAATGCAAATTGATCAAACCTCCACTATTTGTGGTTTCCTTTCACATTTTAGCATGGGACCACCCCATCTTTGAAAACATGCTTAATTTTCTTCCATCAGAGTGGTTGCTGTTTCTCTATGCCTAATTTGTCATCAGAATAATGAGCTAGTGAAAATTGTGTTAAGTTCTGCATGCAGAAAGGAAATGATTCTGGCATGCAATTGTACCCCCTGCGGTATTTCAGTTATCCAGGATCAGTCTTGCAGCAGGCTTCCGGAACAGGTTCATGCCCAGTTTAGTGGAACAACCATTGCAGTAAGGGCCAAGAAAAAGGAACTGCCTAGCATGCTTTATAGTGAAGTACCTAGCATACTTTTCTGACGATTCACCAAAGCTAGGATAGCAGCAGATACTAGGTGTAGTTTTACAACAGCAGCATCAGAAGTAGAGTCAAATGTTTGACTGGGAAGTCTGCTGTTTGTCGAGGACTTTGCAGAGCAGCATTATAGATTAAGGATTAATTTAAGAATTATCAGAATTTTTATAAACCACACTTTAAGGATGAATCTATACAGCACTATTCAAAATGTCTGCAACTTGTCTATAGCTCTGTCAGCAGTGCTTGCAGAAGCAGTAGGGCAGTTGGTAGACTTGGATTTGTAGTAAAAATGGAGAATGTTGAAGAGTAAATAATGTGACTGTAGACAGAGCTGCTATTTGAGGCAGAAACTTCTGTATTTCTTTTGGAAAGGAGAGGAATGTCTGGCTGTTGGTTTGTTTTTTGGGTCTTTTTTTCCCCTCCCCTACCAGTAAGACTTTTTCCAAACCTGAATTGTAGTATGGCATAACGGTACCTCTTGTTTGTTTAATCTTTCCCTTGAAATTCAGTTATTTCTTATAGTTTTCCAAAGTGAAGCTATAAATGTCTGTAATATCCTGCTATGCTTTCATCTCCATTCTTGCTCATCTCTTCCTTATTTGTACCCACACTGAACCAAATTTCCTGCTCAGACTTGCTCTCCTCTGGTTTTACCAACGAGGCAGTAACTTTCACCCTCTGTTTGCACAACTTACAAGTGGTCTCCTTCCTCCTTGATATTTGAGGTTTTTTCTGACACATCCAGAAGGAATGAGTACACATACACAGTTAGATTTGTTTGTGTTGGATCTCTCAAAATTCTCTAGCCAAAGTGAAGGTTGAAAGAACATATACATTATTCAAAATGTAATTAGGTGCCATTAAAGGCCAACCTGCTAATGAAAGGTAAGATTCTTGGTAAAATTTGGATACTGTTTCAATTTAAGGATTATCAGAATTTTATAAGCTATTTCTGATCAAACTATAACTTTTTTGTAAAATATCTCTTGTTGATCATCTGCTTTTTACTCTTCTGTCTTTTAGGGTTTTGACCCACCGCATCAAAGTGATACACGAACTATTTATATAGCCAACCATTTTCCCCAGCATGGCCATTACGTTCCTCAGAAATTTGCAGATAATAGAATCATATCATCAAAGGTAAAGACAATCAGTATACTTTGTCCAAATTGCCTGATACAGATTGCATGTCACTTAAGACGTCATGGAGAATCTATACATCTAATATGTAGTTGTATTTCTTTTTTTATTTATATGATGTTTCTCATTAGTCTCAAAGCACCTGTACAACATTTAAAACTGCAAATGAACCCAAATTAAAAATACTAGACCCGTTCTTCAGGTCTCTGGTTTCCCTACCCCATCCAAGAAACCTCCACCTAATTACAGGCTGACCAACATTTAAGCAAAATCCAGCAGAAAAAGAGGGAAGTCTTTGGCTCCCTCTACACGTGCACATAAAGGCATTGGATTGAATGCATGATCCATCTAATCATGCCTCCTGCTGTGCTACATGTGCATGGCAGAAGGCGTGATTGTGGGATTGCCTATGAGATCCAATCATGCCTTATTGCCACTGCAGGGGAACATAATTGATAAGAAGCAGGCTCTCATAGCTGGGAGTTACGCGCAGCCAGGGCCAAGACGCCCTGCGACCGATGGGAGTCTTGGTCCCAGCCACCCGTCATTTGCAGCTGGGGCTGAGAGCCCCACAACTATCAGGGCACAGCCAGAACCAGGAGTCCTGTCAGTTGTGGGGGTCTCTCGGTCCCAGCTGTGCGAGCCAAGAGCCCCATTTGTTGCAGGGTCTCTTTAATTGCACGATACCTGTAATATGTAGGGGAGGCCTCTAACCAGGTTCTTCACAGTGCTATGTGCATCACCTGCATACATTTAAACATAGGACTGGAGAGAATAGAATCCATGGAGTAGCCATGCCCCAAAAGTGTAAAGTGCACATCAGTGTGAAGGATGTCGAGCTGCATGTATCCATTCCTTAGTGCATGCTGGCCATAGGTATGTAAGTGTAACTGATGGGGAAAGGATGTCCTAATTGACTGGCATCCTTACCTAACAAACAGCTGATTGGCTCAGGAGGCTGGAGGAAGGTGCAGTGAGGCAGGAAAGTTTTTAGTTGCCACTGCTGTAGCATGGCAGCTTCTCTGTTTAGGCCAGTCCTGATTTCCAGGTCCTCCACAAGAAAGAACTAGTTATGCTGCAGAGACAGACAAGCAGGGTTGGGGAAAGAAAAAGGAACAATGATTAAGAGGTT